AGTAGTAGTAGTAGTAGTAGTAGTAGTAGTAGTAGTAGTAGTAGTAGCGGTAGTAGCAGTAGCAGGAGGACGCGGCAACAGCAACTGTATACTAGCATAGTATTAGTATAGTGGTAGTGGTCGTGGTTGTGGCGGTAGTCGCATTTGCGCTGGTAGTCGTCCTGCTCGTGGTCGAGGTCCTATATGTTGACTATATAGTCGTACTCACTCGTGTTATTTGCGCCTGTCACTCGTGTTATATAGTCGTACTCACTCGAGGTCTTTCTTCTCCCCCTTCGCCGTTGCAAACAACCTTTTACCGACGCAAAAAGAACGTGCTTGCCATCACAGGAAACCACCGAGCGTGGTTTGCCATTGCAAAAACCCATGCCGAACCGTTGCAAAAACCTGGGCACCGTTGCTAAAAACTCTCCCAACAATTCACCGTCGCAGAAAACCCCGTTCGCTGATGCAAAACAACCCGAAACTCGCGGCTAGCACCTTACGTTGAAAGAACCCCCGTCTGATTTGTAATGAGGGCTCATTTTCATCTTGCAATCCCATCGTAAACGGGATCAAACGGGACAAGTTTTGTACACGCGCGCGTTTTGCGCGGGTTAGTTGCGGGCGGCGTGCCTTGTTTTTTATATTTTGCTCGTTTGAACCTGAGGTGAGCCACGTCAAAAATCTCCATGATTAATTAGTTTTTGTCATGCAGTTGTCCTGACATAACCCCCGCGAAAGGCAAAACCTAAGTCGCGAAAACTTCGAGACAACTGTTGCGAAAGACACCATGCAAAAATGGTTGCGAAAGGAGTATGCGAAAGAACGTTTTGGATGATATGTAAGATTTGTTTCCAGTGCTAGCTGTTTTTTGTGCTGTTTTGACGCAACTTCGCCATTGCCACCATGAGAGCGTTGTGTGAATATATACAAGGACCCTCAAACTGAACGGTTTTTTCTGTATTGCACCAGCACCCATGGTGGGCAAGTCAGATAGCAGTCAAGGAGTTCTCACAATAAATAGAAACCGAGAAACCATGAGAAACCGTGTTTTGACCACGGATTTCTCGAAGTCGAAGGTCGGAAATCCGCGAAAGGCGTGCGAAAGGTTCGCGAAAGGCTGGAGAAAAGGCACGGTTCCATGTTCAAGATGTAGCCCATCGATTTGCATTTTCTACTTGCCAGGTGAAAAGAAAAACTTGCCAGAAGGAGGCAATATAGACTTATGTATATTGTAGAGGTATACACATTGTTCCCCACCTACGAGGTGAGGGTTGTTGGATTTTATCAGAGCTCTTCTCAGAAGGAGGCTCTTCCTCGACTCCTCCTTTTCCTCCTCCTTCCCCTCCTGCAAGTGCCTGATCGCAGTCGGCACTACAATGTCATGGTGGGGATCACTGGAAGTAAAGTTATATGATGTGTTATATAGATGATGTCCTGCGAAAGGACTGAGAGAAAATATTGTATATGCCCGCGAAAGGAAAAACTGTGGTCGCGAAAGGGCCGCGATAGCCTGTCGCGAAAGGATGCTGGGGCTGCGGGGCCATTTCCAATAGGTTTTCGACACAGCTCAGGTGACATGTGTTGGTTACACAACCCGATGCAATCCTTTATTCTTTGACCTAACCCTAGCGGGTGTACATGCGTCACACTACCTCACGTGTTTTCAAAATTTACGCGACTGCATGTACCATGTTTGGATTGTGCTTTCAGCTTTTGGAGTCTGAGACAGGGAATTGCCACAGCTCCATCAGTTCCACCCGCGACAAAACAGTCAGGGGTGAGGTGTGTGAAGCAGCACCGCAATGGATAGGAACACCCGAGTACATGTTCTGCTCTCCATGGTCTGTCCCAACTGGGTGATTGCTCAATGAATATAGGCGGGTGTGGGACTTGTGCGGGTCGTGTACAGGCGAATTCTGGTGGCAGGTGGTTGCATCAGCCTGCGTTGGGAAACGGAACCTGAGGATGCGAAATGCAATGGCAGGGCTGCGGAAAGAATGGCGCCGGAAAATTGAGAATGCATTGTCAAGGCTGCGGAACCTTGACAGACAGTTGGAGACTGCGGCGCAGTTAGATGCGATAATGGAATCGGAGAAGTGAGAATGGGTTGTCAGAGCTGCGGAAGGCAAGATGTCATAAAATCGGTTGGTGCGTGGACGATTTTTTTGCAATTTTGACCTGCGTTGGAAGGTCCTGCAGTCTTAATCTGAAAGAGGCAACTCGAAAAGCATGCGTTGAAGCCCGCGCAAGCCAGCGATCACGCTTGAGCCCCCGCAATGCCAGCCTGCACAAACCTGCGCAGAATCGTGCGAACCTGTGCAACCAAGATCAGACACAATTCCCGCACTGAAGAAGGCAGCCTGTCCGCATATTCGATGTGCACCGATTCGCTCCCATTTGAACAGATTTGCGCAAGTTCGCAGCGAACCTTGCCAGCTCCATCGCCCCTTGAACTGCTAATTAGGCCAAAGGAAAGGCAAGGGGGAAGGGTTTGCAAGGTTTGAAGGGTGAAGGGGAGGCGAGAGGCTCGAGCAAGAAATGAAAGATCGATTGGGAAATGAGAAACTCGATCAATATAGGAGAAAAATGGAGAAGACAGGTGCAACTGGGAGGAAATATTGTCCGTTGGAAGCCTGCACTGAAGCTGGTTTTAACAATTCCGTTTGGCAGCTCCAGTTCCATCAACAAACGGTGTTCGAAGTCACAAGTACTTGGGTGATCTTGGGTGCGTGTAACCTTTGGCAGGTCAAATCCCCAATTAAGATTGTTTGGTTTCGATCAAGGTCCCCAGTGATGAACTGCATCACGCATAGATCATCAACCTGCACCACTTTCCATCACATCACGACATAACCTCATCACACAAAGAAAAGCTCTATAGTTTATAGATTATTGATAGTCTATAGTTGACTAAATCAGTTTTGCAGCTTTCACACCGGCTTTGCCGGAGAATTGCTTCATATAAATAGAGGGCAGTGGTGCTGCTTTTTGAGCAGGGGGTGCCAAGATGAATTGAGATGAAACTCGTATTTTTGGTAGCAGCTTTCGTCACCATAGTTTGAGTTCAAGTTTTGTTCGCTATACCATTGAGACCTGGGGAAACGTGCAGGACCAAGGCTTCCATTGGCTGAGTTGGAGGACCCTTGCCAGCCGATGTGCCTTTCGTTTTGCCAACACAATTTTTCTACATGAACCTGCGCACACTGCACAGTTACAAGGGGCAACTTGCACTAAACCAGGGTTTGCCAGTGTCAGACGCGGCATTGACACTCGGTGACTGCAGCACTCTTCCTTGGATCCTTCCCTTGATGACCTTGATGCATTGTTTGCGCAGGGAATTCGGTCATTGGAAAGATTATGGGCAGTACTGGGGCCAATGGCTTGGAATCAGCTACCGACACTGAGCCGCAGTGTTGCCCAAGTCGCCTGTGTTTACATCACACTTTCCCCAGAACATGGCCTCTCTTTACCCAAGGCAGCACTTGAAGATTGATGACACTTGCTGGCAAGCACCTTGTTGGCACGTTTTGTGCTTGTGATGATGCGGGCTTTCTGAAAAATAGCAACTCAGGTGCTGGATGTGTTCTACTATCCTGAACTATCGGAAGATTGGACTGGCTGCCCTGCACATGTTGACCCTGGTTTGCTTACGTTCGTCGTTGCAGATGACGCGGGCCTCGAAGCACAATTCGACAAGAATTGGGTGCCTGTATTTTCCAGAACTGCTGGCGTAGCACTTGCAGGTGCACAATGGGCACAGGCGGCTTCCAAATCTTGCCAACCCTGCCTGCACAGGGTGAAGCTAAAACGAGGCGCCTCTCGTTTGAGTGCGGCTTTTGAAATCCGCTTGGATTCATGCTATGAGCTCCCTTCTGGGGAGGGCCAAGATAGAAACAGCAATGAAGCGGAGAAAAAGCCAAGCGCAAGTGATGTCAACAGGGCGATGGAGAAGAAGAAGAAGAAGTGATGTCAACACAGCCTGATAGACATGGCACAGATAAGACAGTGTTCATGAAGCATTGAATCATCACCGATTTCTGAGGCCTGATGGGACAGTGGTGGCTACGGCTTCACTGGATGCTGAAGTGAAAGTTTGGGACGCGAGGACTTCAATATTCATCTTATTCTTGTGAGCGTTCACTTCTTTCTGATATTGAAATAGGACTTTTTGGCCAGACGCGCTTGCCACAGTCATGTCCTCGTTGATGCTCATGCTGCCACGCAACCTTTTTGTAGTTTTGTAGTCAGGTTTCTTTGCACAGCCGAGCGGTATTGTCCTTGGCCTTCTCTTTGGGCACAGGCGGCGATGGCAGACCATTGATTCATGTACCCGCACACATATCTCAGGGCATTCAATTGCTACGGCCAATATTGATTGTGTTCGACGCGTAGCTCAGCTCTGACAAATCAACGCTGACAAATATCTCTAGAGGCCTGAGTTCTTGTTCCTGGAGCCTCTGAATATCTCCGTCTATATATCAAGTGCTTCAATGAATCTGTCCTTCGATCTCCAAGTGCCCAAGTTTCCTTGAATTTGGGGATGTTTCTGTTGACTTCCCATATGTTTATAGTCCTACCCGACTGCATGTATCCTTTTGCCCTTGGGATCCAATCTCCACTTGCTATGTTTTGCTTGCGGGATTCTGGCATGAATGTTGAGCCGAACCACATTTCTAGGTCCTAGACAATACATGGGAATACATGGGAGTTGATCTGAAACCCCGTGTAAGGAGTTTTGTATAAAGAGCCTTTCAGATGTCAAACCATCCGCGAAAGATGCGCAAAATCAGTTTTTCTTACGAAAGATTTCTCGAAGGTCTCTTTCGTATGTTTTCCTTTCTACCGACCGGCAAGTGGTAGAAATACTAGGCAATCCTCCGGCACAGCCGCTGCGAAGCCTCAACGTGCGTAAAGGGCTCTCCGATTCCAGCCCCCACTGTCGCAGACTGTCACGGACTACTGTAGCAACCTGACAATTGTCCTTGCACAGCCCTGACAGTGAGGCAACGACCCTGACTGGCTGTGCAGATGCTTGCACATGTTATCCGAGGGAAATCTCCGCGAAAGCCGAAAGCCTCGCGAAATGTGCGGCTAAGTCCTGGTTCCAAGCTTGAGGCCTCCCAACATATCCTGAGCTGCATCACCCTGTGCTGGTAGCCGGCGCGAGGCTTGGTTTGAGTTGTGCCTGACTCTACTCCAAGCCTCCTCCAGACTTAGGATACTGTTTCTCGCACAGATGTCGTAGATGCTGTAAGTGACCCTGAGTAGGTGTGGCAACTCTCAACCTTGTGCTGCGCACTCTCTCTCTCTCTCTCTCTGTGTCTCGGTCTCCCTCTCCCTCTCCGTTTCCATAGTTGAACAATTTTGCCCTTGACTTGCGCCACGGTAGTTTTGGCCGGTCAAATTTAGTCAGGGGTTGGGCTCAGCCCCATTGCTTCAGCCCCTCACCTCATCCTCCCCCACACCCAACCGGTCCATGACCAACTAACATCGTTTGTCTATGACTTGAATAAATTTTGTTTGCCTCGCAAGCCCTTGGCGGATTTTTGCACGTGCCGAGCACAAACCATCAAGTGTTCATTTAAACTTGTATTTATTTTGTGAAGGCTCTGGAGTAGTTCTAGCGACTGGTGGCGATGATGCCTGGGCCTCAACAGCAAAGCCTCCAGCTGGCGTGGCTGCTTCACGTATGTTGACATAAGGATCTGATCGGCTGGTTTCTGCTTTCGCAAGTTCTAGACGCAGGAGTGTGTCACACTCATTGACAAGGTTTGTGCAGGTCAGGCGGCGCAACAACTGCTGGAACCGCTTTCGAAAATAGCTAGTTAAGCCTGTAAACTCGGAGTTTTGTCTTAATCCTTTAAGCCTCAGAAGCTGAACAAGCGGAGGTTTCGTTCGGCCATACGCCATGGATCCTTTACAGCTGATTTTTGGTATCATCGTTGTGGTGTTGATGCTTGGCCTGGGTGCAACAATGTCCCCAAAGGATTTCAAGCTTGCCCTTCGCATGTGGAAAGCTCCGCTGGTGGCCGTTCTTTGCCAATTTGGTCTCATGCCTTTGATCTCCTTTGCCTTGGCATTGGGCCTGGGTGTGACGAAAGAACAAGGCCTTTCCATGCTTGTGGTTGGTTGCTCACCAGGGGGTTCAACAAGCAACCTCTTTGCATACTATTCACGGGCTGACCTGCCCCTGTCAATCCTTGCCACGAGCCTCTCTACCTTGCTGTCAGTGGCGATGATGCCCCTGTGCCTCTACATCTACAGTTCGCCCTTCACGGACGATAATGTTGCGATCCCTTTAGCAAGTTTGGTGACGCCCCTCTCTCTTGTGTGAACCTCAGCGATGCCACGTCCAAAAGCCAACGAAAGCCACAATGGAATAGTTACAGTAGAGATAGTCAGCGCAGAGTTGATTCAAGTCGTGGTCTCTAAATGTTTTTTTCTTGCATGAAGAAAAGGCTGGTCCATGGTGCTTTTGTCATGCAGATCAGGGGCCACAAGCATTGAAGGGATGTGAAGGGAATGAATATACGATACTCGAACTTCAGTGATGGCAGTATTTGCCCGTATTCCTGGGTCCTAGTCAGGGTATATATATATATTTTCTGTTTTGGCCCTCAGCGGGGTGAAAGCAAATCACACCCACATGAAATCCCACGAAGACGGTTGAGCCGGATTCATTATCAGCACTGAGGTTATCCTGCCTGTTGTGATTGGCATGGGAATCCGGCACATGAGCATCAAAGTGGCACTGTGGATAGAGAAAGCAGCTTCTGCTCTTGGCACAATTTTCCTCCTTGCAGCTTTGGTGACAGGCGTTGTTTCAAATTCGCATCTATTTACTGATCACTGGAGGCTTTGGGTAGCGGCGGCTTTGCTGATGCCAATTGGAAGCGCGCTTGGTTATGGCAATGCCCGTCTTGCAAGACTCCCCTCCAAAGCCTGTCGCACCATTTGCTTAGAGACAGGCTTGCAAAACAGCACCCTTGCATTAACAATTCTGGCCTTCTCCTTCAGTGACCCCGGGCGATTCGAGGCAGTGTCAGTCTTTCCGTTATTGTACAGCTTGTTCCTATTGGTTGACGGTGTGCTCATCACCTTGCTTTTCCGCTTTCTCTCCCGCAACGAGCTGGCTGAGGGGCCGTTCAACGGAAATCTGGACACGACCATAGGAACACGCAGCAAAGATCCAAGTGAAGCGAAAGCAGCACAATCGGAAGGCAAGAGTGTAGAGGCTGATCACCAAGACTGTCAGAATGAAGAGGAGAAGTGCAGGCAATTTGATTCAGTGGCTTGAGAAGTCTTGGAAAGGGGCCAAATTACTTACTCAGCATGGCATGTTTGCTACCGGCTTGAAGCACTTGGTAGACATGCCGTGTCCATCAGAGACCTGATGCCAGCCACATCAAATGCTAAGAATTCGACATCCGGACTGCCTGCTACCAGTTGGCAGCGTGTGACCACACGCTTTTTGCTTGAATGCTTCCGCACAGGTCTTGGCACTCTTGCGCAATGTCAGTCAAAAAACAGGACACTTATGTTAGGTCAGGTGCAAGGGAAGAGTGCCACTACACAGTGCCACAACCTGGGTATGGACCACCTGTTTGAAGAACAGGCTGGGTGATCGTGATGATCCGCGGCTTGCATTCGAGCAGATTGCACGCACGGAAAAGGGACGATCAAAAGGACAGCTCGACTAGAGGGCAATGGTTGCACAGAAGGCCTTTAATCTTTTGACCGTGTTCAGGAGTTGCTGCAAGCCCTGTGCCTTTCCACCACTTCCGGGAGGACAGTTCAAAAAAGAGGACAAGAAAGAGCATACACGAGAGAGAGAGAGATATAGAACAACAACAAGAGGAGAAGGAGGAAGAGGAGAAGGAGCATGAGGGGAAGGAGCATGAGGAGGAGGAGGAGCATGAGGAGGAGGAGCATGAGGAGGAAGAGCATGAGGAGGAGGAGGATGAGGAGGAGGAGGAGGGAGAGAAGAAAGAAGGGCAACAGGAAAAAGCAAAGAACAGAAAAGGACTATGTGACTATATGACTATATAGGCGGCCTAGGTGGAAATCCGGATGTGGGCGGTGGAGGGGGAGAGAGAGAGAGAGCGAGTGAGAGGGGAGAGAGAGACAGAGAGAGAAATGGAAAAAAGAAGGACGTGGAACACGAAAGAGGAAAGAGAGAGGGAAAGGAGCGTTGACCGCAGACATGGGCATGGTCCCAATTTTCTATAATATGAATTACTTTTTCGGAGTTAATGTTCAAACGCCAGGAGTTGCCTTTTCTCAGAAAGTAGAGTAAAAGAACTCCACTACTTCGCGATTCCATCTACTCCAGAATGATCATGATATTGGTCATATTGTATATACATATATTTTTATCCTCAGATGTAGCACCAGTTGCATGTGTCATGGTAGATGTGTCGGATGTTTCACCGCAGCCGTTTGTGTTTAGCTGAGTTTTGCTTGAATGAAGGATTGAAGGAAAAGTGTGCCTCAGCTTTGAACATATCGTTTAGGTATGTTTAGGTACTGTGACGCAGGGTCATTACTGTCACTATGGTTGTGAGCCTAACATCCCCGTTCATGGTAGCGGAGCTGTGGCTCTGAGACCCAGCTACCGTTTACAGGTCGAAGGCAGCCGAGCTGCATCAGGTCTGGCGCCGGAGCAGTACTATACACACCACTGGCCGAGAAGCCGGATTGATTCAGTCGTCACAATGGCACAGCCGCCAGAAAAAGGAGCAACAGCTCAGCCTACACACATTGCGCAGCAATTTGCACACATGATCCACCAGCAGCACCAGGACAGAACCGGCTACAACAAGGAATAGCAGAGGCACACACCCAGCAAGCGGCCATCGCACGAAACATTGCAACCAGTGTGGAAGACGGATCAGAGTTGAAAGGCACCCCAAAGCCTGACAAGTTTAGAGGTCAACTTGGTACCTGGAACTCATGGTGGTTCAAGTTCAAGACTTGGATTGAAATGAGTCAGAAAAATGGGGGTAGGTGCGTCCAACTAATTGAGGAGCACCAAGAGACAGAGACATAGAGATCAATCGAAGATGATTACTGTATCCTGAAGGAGCCGAGCTTGTTCAGCTCAGGCCCGGCAGGGTACCCCAAGAGGCCCACACTTTGGACTCGAGGCATTGCGAAGGCTAACCACCAAATACCACCCCCACAACCCACAGGCGCTTCGAGAAAGCATTGAAGCCTGGGAGAACATCAGGCGAAAGTATGAAGACCGAAAGAAGAAGAAGTAGCAGAAGAAGAAGAAGAAGTTGATTAGAAGAAGAAGAAGAAGCTCGACGATGACATTGCCAGGAGCTGCTTGCAACAGAGATGTGTCCAGAAAAGCTCCAAGATCACCTTGACCTCCAAAGTTCAAGACTCACAGACTATGACATCATGAAGTCATAGATTTTTGAAAATATCGAGAACATCGAGAGGAGAAGAGAAGCCAAGGTTGGATCAGCAGCAATGGGTGTTGATGCACTTGCCACAGCTGCCAGCCTGCAAGGGTCACCTGCGAGCCTAGCAGAGGCAAAAGGAAAAGGCAAAGGCAGCTCAGCCCAAAAGGAAGCTAAGCAAAGGTAAAGAAAAGAGCCAAGATGGAGGCAAGGGACACGATAAAGGCAAACAGAATCAAAAGGTTCGATCAAAAAACATGGAACACATCACTTCATGGTACAACTCATGATTGGAACAAAAGTGACTGGTATAGGAACAATTGGGGCTGGGCAAGCAGAACGCCAAGGCCAAAGTTAAAGGCAGCAAGGGTAAGGTAAGGATGCTAAAGGTAAATGCAAAGGCAAGAACAAGAAAGTTGCAGCAGTTGAGGAATCCACCAATCTTGGGGCTCAAGAGCAAGAGCCTGAAACCGAGTCCTCAGCCAACGCTGCCGCCATCATCATTGACACTGACATAGAGAAGACGTCTGCTGCCGATGCTCAAGCAAAGGCCAGGGCAAAAGTGAAGGCCGCGCCTAAGCCCTCAGGCAGGGGCCGTCCTGGGTTGCAGTTGCAGGGTCGCCGTGTGGAACCAAGCGATCCAAAAGACGATGCGATTGAAAAAAGAGCGGTTGGGATGAAGGGCTCAGCAAATCAAGACTGCAGACTGCCATAAAGGAAGCAGAAGAACAGGGCATAGCAGGCAGTGAGCAAGGCCATCTTGGAGCGCCAACATAAAAAAGAAACAGAACTCCAAGATCAGCGCGCTGAAAAAGAGCTTGAGGCCAAACTGCTTCTGGGCTGTTTTGGCGCCGGCGGTGTCGCCGCATTTGACCGCGCACTTGGCAGCTGGGATGGACCCCAGAGCTGCAAGGAAGAAGGAGGAAGGCCGCCAACGCGCTGAGAAGACTTGCAGACCTTCGAAGGCAATTTTGATGGAAGGGCTTTGAAGAGAACTACCCAGAGGAGTTGGATTACTAAAAGATAGCCCGCGCAAAGGGCTCGGGACGATGAAGGTTATGAAGAGAAGTTCAACGAACCAACCAAGCCAAGCAGCCAAAGAAGGTGAAGGAAGAGCTGCAAGAAGAAGAAGAAAAAGAAGAAGAGCTCAGAAGACAAAGAGGAGCTCAGCTCACCACTCAAGAATTGGTGGTCTCACGCCCAGCTCGGTGTCATCGAGTATGCGCTCATGACGGAACGGTACGGCCCTCGGAGTATGCCACGCTGTGATCAAAGGTATTCTCGCCGTGACTGAGGGAGCCACGTTTGCGCCATCCTTTTCGAAGCCAGTCAATGAAGACCATTGACCCCCGCTGAAATTGAAATCCTTGAGCAACTTGATGGTGAAGAGTTTCAGGATGACCTTTGGCTGGATCACACTGCCCGCATGTTGTCGTGAGGAGTGGGTTGCCACGTGTGCCCACAGATGCCAATCATCGCAAGTACGTGATGTGCGTGGCTTGCAACAAAGCGCTGAAAGCGGACAAGGCTTCGGCTACCGAAACATTGTACGGCAACGAAGTGCTGCCCACCCCACGTGCTGCATCAGTGGGCACGTGAATGGCGCCAACGCCAAAAGGTTGAAAGCTGCCAGACAGAAGCCCAACATCGAAGGCAGCGCCAGCCCATGCAGCTGCCGACATGGAGATTGATCCAAAGGCCGCTCCAGAATTCATAAAGATGAAAGACCCCAGTTGGGAAACTTAAAAAGGGGACCCTGCGTATTACCCTGGCTCGCAGATGCAAGAGATGATTGCCACGCAAGACAAAGAAGATGAAACTGGCCCAACGGCGCCAAAACAAAGGCGTTGCAAAGATGCCGCCCTGTGAAGAAAGGCCAGACCAAGGAGGAGCGCGCGCATTGATACAAGGCCAGCCACTCAGACTGGGCTTGCCAGAGGAATCGAGGGCAAGGGTGAACCGCTTCAGTCTGGCGCCAAGGGAAGGGAATTCGGAGCTTGGTGCAAGGCTGCAAGGCATGTGCGCAAGGGGAAAAGTGCAGCTAAAGCAACCCCGCGTATCACGCCGATTGCTGATTCATGAATTCACGGTCTGATGACATATGTACTGTATTAGTCACGGATGAGAAACATCATGAACTAATTTCTGTCGTCCGAGACAGATAGATGAAGCGTCATTTTGCACGTGTGCTTTCCTGTAAGTCCAAGGTCCCAGTGCTGTTCAATGATACCAAGGTGGTATGTAGTCCGACACGATCCCGAACCAGCCCCTCACGCCGCTCGTTGAGAGAAATTCAGAACGGGTTCGCAGGTCATTGATCATCGAGAAATGCGCGGAAGTGCCGAAAGGCGAGATTGAATGACAGTTCAAAGTTCAAACTTTGGAAGGACAGGCAAGGACACTTCGTGCACTTAGAATCAAGCTATGATGTGAAATGTCCTGGCGACTCACCAGTCCACAGTCTATAAATTTGAATGTTCTTCCAATCCAATATGCAAGATCGACGCCTTATCGGCAGCGCGCCAATACCCCACCCCAGGCCCATCGCGCTTCGGCGGCGCAGTGATATCCCCCACCCGCATACCACCCCATCGCCAGCCACAGGATATCGGCATATCGGCGGCGCGCCGACATCCCCCACCGATATATCGCGCCCCAAGCCACAGGATAATATCCTCCACCAATATGCACCCCAAGCACGGGATATCGGCTATAGACTTGGGTGGTGTTGCGTCGATTGCAACAAAGAAGTGACAATGGACGCTTCCGCTGGAATCAGTCTGGGACGCGGCGATGCGCTAAGCATGTGGATACCCAATACCTCTTGGGCCAAGGGCGCGCGGCGAAGAAACAGGCTTCCTTCAATACAGAGCGCCGACCGAATGTT